GTCAAAAATATACATCGACGCTAGTTTATATGAATGAATTAGTAAATTTGGGTAAGCTTTTGTACACGATTGGTGAAAATAAGACACACAAATGGATTTACAGTGATTTTACGGTCATATCGTGTACACCATCCCAAACAATCTTCAGCAGGTCTGAAATAGTTTGTGAATGTTCTCTATGAAACCAACAGTGAAATATAACTTTAAATGCATCAAAATATTCGCACGAAAAATACGCATATGATGAGGGGGGTCCTATGTGTGAACACGATGATATGTAAATACTTACGTTTAAAGTTTACATCCAAGCGAACTATAATAATTTGACGGGCGCCATTTTTCCGTGGAACTGATCACGACGAAGTCACGTGTTTCGCGACCGTGGCATCTGCGGGATTCATATTTAAATTTTTCCATGTTTTACTAATAAATGGACTATGTTTTGGCAATCAACAATTAAACTGATAGCAGCAACCACAGGCGTGTGACAATCCCTGTGTTCACGTCCTCGACCTATCCTTATTCGATAGACGTATTTACACTTGTATGCAAATTTGTCCGCCATTACGTTAAATCACACAGGTTCCCGTAAACTTTGACATCATAATTCAAAACATTTGACGTCACAATTAAAAAGTGATTGTTGCCTGACGTCAAAAGGTGATTCGGGGTAGATCTAAGGTCATTCGGAGGCAAAATATTTATAAGATAATGTATGTATCTGTTTTCATCAAAGTCAAAGTATGAATAAACGAATGGAGATATATATGGAGCGGGCATAATGGAATATAATATTTTGATTCATTTGCTTAATACTATGCTCTAAGTGTACTCTTGTTATGTCAATTCGATGCTTTATTTGTAGAACTCTCAGCCACGCTTTGCCATCTTTATTATTTAAGCGTGTTTCCAGACCCCACGACGAGGACGTGGTTCTACCTTGGGGTCCATATAATTTTTTATTTTTTTTTATTATTTTTAGTCATTATATAGTAATATGTACATTCCTATCTAACATAATATTTATACATTTTGTACATGGTGGTCCCATTTTGATAAGCCGTAGATTTTTACCACTAAGGTTCACTGTATTTTTGCCCTTTTTGAAGTTGTAGTTTTAGCATTTTTAATACGTTTCCGTTGACAAGGTTTACGTGCACATGCACTTGTTTTGGGGATTGTCAGCCCACCATCTGTTGAAGTGGTGGACTCTGGGATTGCGTTTAACTTTCTCCCATGAGTCAAGAATTTTTGCAATGCAAAAGCCTTTTCTTTCTCCGATTTAAACTGAGGAGCTTAGCTCAAAGTCTCCATGTCCATAAAGTGCGCCATTGACAAGACTTTCTTGCAACTTTATTTCTTTGTGAATTTTATTAATTAACTCTGGAAGTTTCTCAGGCTTCCAATCTTAATTTAGTTTCAAGATGTGATTGATTGATTCACAATTATTGTTTTTCCATTGCAATGGAATTCTCGACTCTGTTTGTAGAGTGAAAAAACGTTGGTAGGTGTGGCAAGCACCATCCCAATGCAAATAAATTGGTCCCATTATTATTGGGTTTGTGTTTTTCCCTTTGCGTTTAAGTTTGTTTTCCTGGAAAACAGTTGTTGTGACAAAGCAGGCGCCCAAATTGAATGTTCTGAAAATTTGTTTAACTGATTTTCCAGCTTCTATTTCTGAACTAACTTGCGATTTAGTATCAGGTGATGTTCTGATATATTCTTGATTTGTCAGTTTAGCGTTACCATGCTTGTTAACTACTTCAATAGGATACGTTCCTATGTACTCTGCTATGGCTTTATTCATTGTTTCCAATGAATGGCCAGGCATTTTATCGAACCAACTAATTCTTTTTTTGTAAGAATTCATTCTTTTCAGAGATGCATAATACCGTTTAAGGATGAACAAATTAGAATCATCAGGTTGTGGTTCTAAAGGAATAAATTCCTTTTTTATTATTTTACAATACATATCATTCTTTTTAACACAAGAAACCAAATTGTTATCATTTTGTACTACAAAATATGTTGTTTTAGTTGAGGTTGATTTGGAATCCCCATGTTCCACAATCGTCCCAAAACTCCATTTTCTTAGACTTAGCTTTCCTAGTCATATTGTCTAGCACAAAGTACTCATTCTCTTTAACCGAGCGTGGTATCTCAGTATGAGAAACATTTTCATTTACCAGCACATTTAAAATCTGATCAATTGATAGAAACTTGCCGTCTAAAGTGTTTTTAATTATATTTTCATTTTGAATATTTGAATCAGTTGATACATTTGATTCATTTGCTTCGAGCTTGCAAGATATGCTGTCTACCTTTACATCAGTATAAGAGTTATCTAATTCTACATGACATGTGTCACTGCGTTTATTGCCTTGATCAACTGAATCGAAAGATTCATCTAGAGACTTAACAGTGGTATCGAAAATTGTTGGACACACATTTGATTCATTTCTTGTGCTATCTAAAATAGGAAAGTCATGCATACTGTCTATATCAATAACAGATATATTGTGGCTGGCTTTAACTAGCGGCACAAAGTGATCTGGAGTCCATATCGGACTGCGCCCATGACCAGAACTGGTCCATAGTATAACAATTGGATCATTTGACTGAACTTGCAATGGATCAAACATGGTGTTTAAGATACCGACTGTCTTGTCCATAAACCCATTTCGGGGTGGATATACTGACTGAATTGGACAACCTAATACCGACGCTGCGGCAAGAATGGTCCATGCGGACGAAAATGCTCTATTTTTGGCGGCAGCCTTACAAGCTTCATCATATGATGGTGAGACAAGTTCTAGTCTATTGTGCTTAGATGTATCATAAATTAGCTTATTTGACACCATCTCTATACAAGTCAAAACTCTCAGTCTTGCTGCAAGACTTTCATTGCCACACATGTCCACTGACAAAGAATTGAAGAGACAATTGCCATTTGTTGAGACTTGGACAGGGTTTCTTTCTTTAATAATCATGCTTTGTTCATTTAATATTTGTCTAGAAACCCTGTCTTCAACCAAAGAGCTCATTGCAGAATATGTATGGTTTGTCTCCCCAATAATTTGTGTTAGTGGTTCTTTTCTTAGCAATATTTTCTCTACATTTACGCCATCCGTCAACAAATTTTTACTTGCATAAGCTTCTAATCTACTAATAGAAAGATCATAGTCAAATTTATGATCTTTTGTATGACAACATTGTGTACATATGAAATCACAGCTTTTAGTCTGACTTAAGATCCGAAACTGATCTTTTGTTAATTTCTGGCATTTTTGGTGAAACCATGTTTCACATTTTTCACAAAACACACACATTCGAGTGCAGATTTTTGAACAGTTACCACATGGGTGTGCCATTTTTAGAGTGTAAGACTAATATTGCAGGGTATAACTTCCCTTACTATTTCCTTTGCCCAAGTGGAAAACCCTTATCCCAAGGGATTCAGTTTGACACGGCGATGTGACAAAATAAGTGCGTTTCAATATTTACCCTTGCCCAAGGGGATATCATGAACGAACGTGTCCACTATAGTATAATTATAATACTTCTAATATGCATTTATCGAAGTTCGAGTCGTAACCTTTTTTTCCCTTGCCCAAAAGGAAATTGAAACCCTGTACCAAAGGGTTCGTTTGATACCGCGCAGTATCAAAGACGTACAAAGTAACTGATTTATTAATCAAAGGTAAACAGAGTTGCGTTTTAGATTCTAGCAATTGCTCAGAGCACGTACTTTTGCGAGAATATTACTGAAATGCTGACTATTTACTTTATACTAAACATGAAAGTTGAATGGCTTCAGTCAGCTTGGTAGAGCAAAGGAAATGCACACTCTATAAAACTGAAACAAAAACAAAAAAAGGTCAACTTTCCTTTGAAGGATTTATTGAAACAAAAACATGAAATATAATTTCCTTTCTAACAGTATAATTCATTGTTCTTGATAGGAACAACATTAGATGTGGCTTCACCCTAAGGTAATAACAGTACACACAATGTGGAACATCAAATGAGATTAACGAGGCGCGTGTCCCCTGTTTTATTGCTACAATAACATCCAATTAACACCTTCAACTTTGTACACGCGTCAGACTATACAATTACACGCGCCAGAATATACAATCATCGTAAATAGTGAACACCTGTTGAAAACTCAAGATTGTCATTAATTTCCTTTCATCTTCAATCAATATGCATAAACATGATAAATATCGTTTAATGAGGCAATAAACAAATAAAAAGATGAAAACATTCACATTTCAATTTTCTTTTCCTCTTGTTTGATTTCAGTTCTTTGTATTTCACAATTTGTGTCAATATTTTCAGGACAATGATGCACAAATAATTCATTTTGCGAGCTTAATATATATTGCACGAAAAGAGTTTTAAAAAACAAATTATAAGATAAATAATATGTTCTAAAACACAAGGAAAAGTAATCTCATAATACAATAATTAAACGTAATACTGGCTGTTATACATAATAGATGATAAAATATTATGTAAATAATGTTTCATTTTTTCTATCAATTTTAACTTTCTTGTCGCTAAAATTATTTTCTTTTGCATATTCTTTTAATATTTATTGCAATAATTAATTTTAATTAAAAAAAATATGTTTTCTTGTCGCTAAATAGTTTCTTGTCGCTTCTTGTCGCTAAAATAATTCTTGTTGTCGCTTCTTGTCGCTTGTTGACGCTTCTTGTCGCTAAAATTCTTGTTGTCGCTAATTAGTGAGACCGCAAAATATAGCTAAATACCAGAAGTGTAAATACGTTTATTAACGACTGAGCTAACTCTTTATAACGACTAAGCTTAACTAACTCGTTATAACGACTTAGCTAACTCGTTAAAACAACTTAGCTAACTCGTTATAACGACTTAGTAACTCATTATAACAACTTAGCTAACTCGTTATAACGACTTAAGTGTTGTTGATTAAAACATTTTTTTTTGGTTATTAGACCTCTCTTATGTACCGGAAGTTGTATTAAGATAACCCGCCAAAAAAAAACCCAAACCAAAACAGTCATGCAAACAAATCTAAAGAAATTTGTAAAAAGTATCATTAGTTCATCTGATTTGAGGTAATGTAAGATAGTATAGAGTATATTCACAATCATAATCGTGTCCGGCGCGATTTTGAATTTCTTATTTGACCGCTCTGAGCTAAGTCGCTCCGGACACAAAATTCCAAAAAGAAATTACCTTTTAACCATTTACATATAAAATGTAGAAAAGAAATTTTTGGAGTACAATGCAAAGCCACAAAGGAGTAGGGGCATTTAGGCCCGGTTTTGGCCTAAGAAAAAAAAATGTTTGACTATTTCAAATTGGCACATAGGCATGATAGGGTTTGGAAATGCATACTGCATAGAGTGAAGAAATATAAATGAAAAACATAATGTCATAAGATTGTTTATATGATGACGTCACAGTTACGTCATAATATGTTCCGTTTTCATTAAGGTGAAAAATGCAGAATTTGTGCAATTTTCCATCGTTATTTCCATTACGGACATAGTTGCCAACTGACATGATATTCGCGTGTAATACACGCTTTTTAAACGGTTTACACGCGAGGATTTTATCACATGGCATGTACACGCTTTTCACCACTTTACACGCAATTACATGCTTTTTCGTTGTTTTAATTTTTTGGTTGTTAGTGATATTGCGATTCTCGGGTTTTTTCATTATAACACGATAAATACCAAAATTTCGAAGCCATTGTTTATTTTTCTATATGGATGAACAGCAAAAGCTCTTAAGGTAAGTAGTTTGTGATTAGTTTTTACGATTTTGGGACTTTCTTTCTTTCAAATTCATTTAGGGGAAATGTCCACAGAAAGAGGTAGCAAAAACGATGTGTACGTACCAAGATTCAAGATTTATAAATTATATAATTTGGGAGTTCGAGTTTAAATCATCAAGGGATGAGTAATGCATTGTGCACTCTATGTTGCAATCATAACAATACATATGAGAGGAGAACTAAAATACATAGCTATTTGATTGAGCATTTAACAATTATAAAATATTTTTCTTTTTCAGTTTCAAATGTAGCCAACAGATTTCCACAGGCCATTGGGGATGGAAATATCACAGAACTGTTGGATCAGTTCTCATAGTATTAGCTGTCTTCTGATGAACTACCCAGTTTTGACCAGGCAATAGCAACATATATTGTATAGTTTGTTGGGAGCAATGGCAGAGATCATAGATGACATTTTAGATGGCAAAAAAACATTATGACACTCTTTCAAAGCTTCATGAAGCTATTTTAGTTCAGCCAAATATCAATTCTGACTGTGAGAGATCATTTTCAATTATAAAGAAATTTACACTGAATTCTGATCAGAACTCGACAATGATATATTGTGTGCCTTGTTATCAAGTAAATGTAACAAAACCAGCAGGTGTTTTGACTATGTGCCTAGTGGTGTTGCTTTAAAAGCAGCAAAACAGACCACTGTTGAATACAATAAAAGTTTACAGTTGAATATTGTTTTTTATATTAACAAATTTGCATATAATGTGAAATTATGAACATTGTTCATATTAAAAAGTCTGCATCTACGTCACGCGTTTTCACACGCTTTTTGACATGTCATGTCATGTCATGACATGTCATGTCATGTCATGACATGATTTCTCATTGTCAGAGGTTGGCAAGTATGATTACGGAAACATCGTGCGCAGCCAAGAAACAACAAAATAATTTAAGAGAAACGTTATTATAACTATTGAAATGATCTCACCAAATATAAAGTTGTTTCTTGGGTGCGCACATACTTTGCCAATCATAAATATACTTAGAATTTGATGAAAAACAAGGAAATTCAAGAAATATTATAAAATATACAAATTTCGTCATGGTTTGTTGCCATGGTAGCTCGTTTAATGTGAATTTTTTTTTTATTTTCTGAAAACCTTGTACCTTAGTCTAGTTAGGACAAATTTAAGGATATGTATGATAACTTTTAAATTTGCAGTAATATTTGGACCAAATAAGGGGCTTATTGCCCCTGCTCCTCTAGCTTGTATAGATTGGAAGAAATGTTATTTAATAGTATTGTCGATGATTGCAAGTTCATTATGCCTGCAAGTTCGTGACATTTGTAGATTTCCACTTTATTCGTGACGTCATGCAAAAGTATTTATCATCGGCAAAGTGCTACTTCAAAAATCTTAACCGGATATTTTTCAATGCATTTTCACTAATATCGGCTTGAAAAAGAGAAGTTGTGTATGTTCTAGCATATTATTTGTTTTATTCCTCTCCTAGAATTTTGTTGAATTCTTGAGAAAATCCTTTCAGCAATGTTATTGACATCTCAACAATGAGTCGTCATCTATTTTTAGGTTATGTGGCCTCTTATTTCTTTTTGTCGAGCCTTCGACTTTAGTCAAAAAAGCGAGACATAGCGATCCTACATTGCGTCGTCGTCGGCGTCCACAAATATTCACTCTGTGGTTAAAGTTTTTGAAATTTTAATAACTTTCTTAAACATTGTTAAACTATCCTGGATTTCTACCTAACTTGGACAGAAGCTTGTTTATGATCATAAGATAATATCCAGAAGTAAATTTTGTAAAAATAAAATTCCTGTTTTTCCGTATTTTACTTGTAAATGGACTTAGTTTTTCTGCCAGGAAACATTACATTCACTCTGTGGTTAAAGTTTTTAAAATTTTAAAAACTTTCTTAAACTATCCTGGATTTGTACCAAACTTGGACAGAAGCTTGTTTATGATCATAAGATAGTATCCAGAAGTAAATTTGTTAAAAAAAAAATTTCATTTTTTCCGTATTTTACTTATAAATGGACTTAGTTTTTCTGCCAGGAAACAATACATTCACTCTGTGGTTAAAGTTTTTAAAATTTTAATAACTTTCTTAAACTATCCTGGATTTGTACCAAACTTAGACAGAAGCTTGTTTATGATCATAAGATAGTATCCAGAAGTAAATTTGTTGACAAAAAAATTTATAATTTTTTCCGTATTTTACTTATAAATGGACTTAGTTTTTCTGCCAGGAAACAATACATTCACTCTGTGGTTAAAGTTTTTAAAATTTTAATAACCTTCTTAAACTATCCTGGATTTGTACCAAATTTGGACTGAAGCTTGTTTATGATCAAAAGCTAGTATCTAGAAGGAAATTTTGTAAAAAATTTGTACCTGTTTATCTGTATTTTACTTATAAATGGACTTAGTTTTTCTTCCAGTTAACATTAAATACAGTGTGCAGTTAAAGTTTTTAAAACATTTATTAGATTCATAAACTATCCTGGATTTATACCAAACTTTGACAGAAGCTTCTTACAATCAAAAGATAGTATCTAAAGGAATATTTTTATTGGTTTTTTTTCCTCATTTTTGTTGAGCCTGCTATTAACAGCGAAAGTAGGCGAGACACTGGGTTCCGCGGAACCCTTACGAATTTTTTTAAGGCCAAGAGTATTATTTTGTAAAGTCTGTATGTGAATGGATTTTTTAAGATCAGAAAATGATTTGATATATTTTGATGAAAACAAAACCTGCCGAATATTGGCTCGTTAAAGTAATTTAATCCTATGCCATTGAATGCAAATTGCATGAAAAAATAATTTGATGCATTAATGAGATTGTGACATCGTTATAGTTGTCTTTAACGTGTTTAAAGTGTTTAATTCTGGACTTTCCAATTGACCATTGAGAGTCACGTGTAAAAATTAGAATAATCTTTGTAGGGAGAATAAAAGTTAGTATGTCCCAATTTCTCTTTTTTTTTTTCGAGATATTCATTTGTTATTTGATCTCAAATTTATTCTGTAATGTTCAAATTCATAATACAATAGGCCTGACCTATATATTGTTGCATATGCGCAAAAGCCACCGCCAAAGACAAAGGTCACGAACTTACAAGCATGTCTACTTACTTTTACGGAATCGGGTCACAATATGAAACATAGAAAGATTGACCATGTTTCTGAAGCTATTCATCAATTAAATGTATCAGACTGTTTGCAAATAAGTAAAGAATATTTACATCCACAGTGGATAATATTTGCTCCAAAGTTGTGATTTTTTTCTTCCGTTTCGAGTTAGGGTAACGAATTTCCAATCATCGAGGATATTAGTACGGTCAAGAAAGACAACTCGTACTTAAAAATGGGAGATAACTCAATTTTCTTTTAAAGGGATTTCCAAGGAACATATTGATTACACCAATTTGCGTAATCACAACGCCAAAGGGATGCCTCTAAACTATTCTACAGTACGGTTTCTGAATGTTTGATGATTGATTTCCAAGCTTATTTCCAATAGTATAATAATACATGTATGTAATCTATACTATTAAATGAGAAGACCTCATTTTGTGTGTCGCTTCTCTTAATTCCACAATAAATTAATCATCATGCCTCTGTGTCCTATAAGTACCATGCATAGTCGCATTAGTCATCCTCGCTTAGGCCAAAAAAAAATATATGTCTGTTTAAGGTTACATCCTTTAAAAAAATAGGGTAGGTAGGTAGGTATTTCCATTTTATTTTTTTTTTTCATTTTTTTTTTTGGCGAGATGTGTGATGTTGTTGCATGTTGTTTTAACTTATATTAAGTGACTATATTAACTTTTTACTGTCATATAAACTTACAATAAATTGTTTTGTCCTTTCTAATATATAGGTTTATTAATGTACATGTATGCAGGCATATATGCAGAAATAAATTCATTATGCTGTACTGATGAATGAACAATCAATATATATAAAACAAGAAGACCCATCAGAAACGAGGAAAGATGACAAAATCTGCACTTATACATGTACATATGAACGTACTGGTTCAAGTTTTGGGGTTGTACGATACCAACTCCTTGTATTAAAGAATGTTTCTTTCACTTTTGCAAATTTGATGCATTAAACTTTTAATAAATTAAATTCTTTTATACCATAATAAATGACCTTCCCAGGAACATTGCTGACAAGTTTGGTGCTGTGTTTTTTTTTAAGAGGACATAAAGAGTAGACACCCCTGCAGACCATACATGTTATTAAATGTGTGGTATTTACATTTATTTATGAGAGGTTAGTCTGAA